TTCTTTTTTTCTTTCTTTCCCTCCTTTTTCTTTCTTTCCCTCTTTCTTTCTGTCTTTCCCTCCTTTTTCTTTCTTTCTCCTCTTTCTTTCTGTCTTTCCTCTCCTTCCTTCTTTCTTTCCCTCTTTCTTTCTGTCTTTCTCTCCTTCCTTCTTTTCTTTCTTTCTTTCTTTCCTTCCTTCCTTCTTTCCCTCTTTCTTTCTGTCTTTCCTTCCTTCCTTCTTTCCCTCTTTCTTTCTGTCTTTTTTTTTCTTTCCTTCTTTCCCTCTTTTCTTTCTTGTCTTTCCTTCCTTCCTTCTTTCCCTCTTTCTTTCTGTCTTTCCTTCCTTCTTTCTTTCCCTCTTTCTTTCTGTCTTTCTTTTTTTCTTCTTTCCTCCTTCTTTTTTCCCTCTTTCTTTCTGTCTTTTTCCTTCCTTCTTCTTTCCCTCTTTCTTTCTTCTTTCCCTCCTTCCTTTTTTTTTCTTTTCTCTTTCTTTCTGTCTTTTTCCCTCCTTCCTTCTTTCCCTCTTTCTTTCTGTCTTTCCTCCTTCTTTCTTTCCCTCTTTCTTTCTGTCTTACCCTCCTTCCTTCTTTTCTTTCTTTCTGTCTTTCCTTTCCTTCTTTCTTTCCCTCTTCTTTCTTTCTTTCTTCCCCTTCTTCCCTCCTTCCTTCTTTCTTTCTGTCTTTACCTTCTTCCTTTCCCCTCTTTCTTTCTGTCTTCCCCTCCTTCCTTCCCCTCCTACTTTCCCCTCCTTCTTTCTGTCTTTCCCTCCTTCCTTCCCCTCCTTCTTTCTGTCTTTCCCTCCTTCCTTCTTTCCCTCCTTCCTTCTTTCCCTCCTTCCTTCTTTCTTTCCCTCCTTTCTGCTTTCCCTCTTTCTGTCTTTCCCTCCTTCCTACTTTCTTTCTCGCCTACAAAAAAAAAAGTTAAAAAATAATAAAATATAAAATTGTGAAAAATTAAATAAAAACTTACTGACACTAGTGGCAGAATTACCAGGGTCACAAAAGTCGCTCTTGCAATCAGGCCCTGGCATTCAGCCACCGGGCTCCAAGGAAAGGGCCCCCAGGCTTTGGGCTGCTCAGTCCAAAATACCCAGGCCTATATTTTGTCCCAGTCCAGTCCTGCATAGGCTATATGTGAAAATGCAGGTGTTTTTTGCTGATGAGTGGGGGTGCCATTAAGAATTAATGGCACTCCGTGCGTCTGCTAAAGAGCAGCACGTTTTGCCAGCAGGTTGGGGAAGGCACGTGATTATGCACGCCTTCCCGACCTGCAATTATGTGAACCTAGGCTTATAGCTGGACAGTTATCTGACTGAACACTCAATAAAAGAGATATACTCACCGTCACGCAGACAGTACGTACAGTGCAAGCGATGGGGTCAGCGCTGGGCCTGTGGGTGGAGCTTGCTGTGCAAAAGCGCGTTCAGGCAGCGTTGAGGACAATTATTATCACCAGTGACAGTAGTGATCACCTCACCCACCCCTTCTGTGCTCACACACCTTTGCTGCTTCAGGTGACAACTCTGAAGCAATTTCACTGCTGTTAAAAAAACGTTGTCACCCTATTGAAGGAAGTTCAAGGAAGGCAGATTTATTGGCAGAATCTTCCAGGTATCTTTGAAGGGATTCAGGGGGCACTTTGTGAATCGGAGCGTGACTTAGGACCACAACAGGAAGCCTACATCACAAATCTAACCTTACTTCATGCCTACGTAGGCGGCTGCTATACTTTCCCGTTATCCTATTAGCTGGAGCAGGCGCGTAACCATAGCGACAGGCCGGCCCCTCTCGCCAAGCAGGCGTGGTCCAGCTAAGTCAATAGCCCGCAGAAATGCCAATCATCCTTCAAGCACATGCGCACTGCAGGAACAAAGCGTCAGCATGAGCAAGCGAGAGAGCAACTGGCCAATGGGGTTGTGTGTATTGTGCGGGACTGCCCGGGGCTGGGAAGTCTACCTTGGCAGCCGCACTGAAGCAGAAGGAAAGCCTGTACACCATTGTCGTATTGTCCTATGACTGTATCCTTGCGCGGATGCTTTTGAAGAGGAATCGCTCTATGAATCTCGCGAGGTTTCCTGTCAGTCTCTGGAACCGGGCGGAAAAGAAGTGAGTGAACTGACCAATGATAAAAGCGATGCTTCTGCCTATCAGCCAATGAGGTTTATGAAGCAGTCACTTGCTGCTTCCCTCAGTAAAGATGGCGTTTGGTAGCGTATTGCGAGTCTGTGAAGCCAGCAAGTGTGGGCGATGTACACAAATTGCTGGAGGAACAATGTGTAGTGTTAAAACAAACACCATGAAATGTTATTGACTTGTATTGCTACGAATTCATATCACTTTATTGTTCTATTTCTCAGTTTATGTCATATAAATACACTATATTGCCAAAACTATTGGGACGTCTGCCTTTACATGCATATGAACTTTATTATTATTATTATACAGGATTTATATAGCGCCAACAGTTTGCTCAGCGCTTTACAATATAAAGGGAGACAATGCAGAATCAATACAGTTCAATACAAGAGGGTTAGGAGGGCCCTGCTCCTTGGAGCTTACAATCTAAGAGGTAGGAGCTGGTGGTACAAAAGGTAATAACTGTGGGGGATGGACTGGTAGGAGGCATAGAAGATTCCATTATTAGCTGATGGCAGGATAGGCTTCCCAGAATAGACAGGTTTTCAGAGATCGCCTAAAAGTGAGCAGAGTAGGCGATAGTCTGATAAATTGGGGTAGAGAGTTCCAGAGGATGGGGGAAACTCTGGAAAAGTCATGGAGACGAGCATGGGAGGAGGAGACAAGGGAGCTATAGAGAAGGAGGTCATGCGAGGAGCGGAGAGTATGGTTTGGGTGATATTTGGAGACAAGATTGGTGCTGTAATTTGAGGCAGAGTTATAAATGGCTTTAGATGTTGTTAATGTTTTGAATTTTATCTGTTGGGCAATGGGAAGCCAGTGGAGGGATTGGAAGAGAGGGGTGGCAGATACAGAACGGTTTGTAAGGTGGATGAGTCTGGCAGCAGCATTCATGATAGACTGAAGAGGGGATAGCCTGCGATGAGGTCGGCCAATGAGGAGGGAGTTACAATAGTCAAGGTGAGAGATAACAAGGGAGTGAATAAGTTGCTTAGGGGTTTCAGAGGTTAAGAACGGCCATATCTTGGAGATGTTGCAGAGGTGAAGTCTACAAGATTTGGACAATGATTGGATTTGGGGCTGAAAGGACAGATAGCATCCCAGTCTTAGTCTGTATGGTTCAATATTGAGTTGGCCCTTTGCAGCTATAACAGTTTCAACTCTCCTGGGAAGGCCGTCCATAATGTTTAGGAGTGTGTCTATGGGAATGTTTGACCATTCTTCCAGAAGCGCATTTGTGAGGTCAGGCACTGATGTCAGATGAGAAAAGGCCTGGCTCACAGTCTCCATTCTATTTCCTCCCAAAGGTATTCTATCGGGTTGAGGTCAGGACTCTGCGCAGGCCAGTCACGTTCCTCCACCCCAAACTCACTCCTCCATGTCTTTATGGACCTTGCATTGTGCACTGGTACGCAGTCATGTTGGAACAGGAAGGGACCATCCCCAAACTGTTCCCACAAAGTTGGGAGTATGAAATTGTCCAAAATGTCTTGGTATGCTGATGCCTTAAGAGTTCCCTTCACTGGAACTAAGGGGCCAAGCCCAACCCCTGAAAAACAACCCCAAACCATAATCCCCCCTCCACTAAACGTTACACTTGGCACAATGCAGTCAGGCAAGTACCATTCTCCTGGCAGCCGCCAAACCCAGACATGTCCATCGGATTGCCAAACAGAGAAGCATGATTCGTCACTCCAGAGAACACGTCTCCACTGCTCTAGAGTTCAGTGGCGGCGTGCTTTACACCACTGCATCCGACGATTTGCATTGCGCTTGGTGATGTAAGGCTTGGATGCAGCTGCTCGGCCATGGAAACCCATTCCATGAAGCTTTCTATGCACTGTTGTTGTGCTAATCTGAAGGCCACATGAAGTTTAGAGGTCTTAAGCTATTGACTCTGCAGACAGTTGGCGACTTCTGCGCACTGTGCTCTTCAGCATGCACTGTCCCCGCTGTGTTATTTTACGTGACCTACCACTTCATGGCTGAGTTGCTGTTGTTCCCAGTTGCTTCCACTTTGTTATAATACCACTAACAGCTGACTGTGGAATATTCAGTAGCCAGGAAATTTCACAGATGGACTTATTGCACAGGTGGCAACCTATCACGGTACCACGCTTGAATTCACTGAGCTCCTGAGAGTGACCCATTCTTTCACAAATGTTTGTAGAAGCAGTCTGCATGCCTAGGTGCTTGATTGTATACACCTGTGGCCATGGAGGTGATTGGAACACCTGAATCCAATGATTTGGAGGGGTGTCGCAATACTTTTGGTAATATAGTGTATATTCAAAGTGCATCCCAACAACTCATGTTCCATGTCTAACAGTTTGATTTCTTTGCAAAAGCAGCCACAGCCTGAGTAAAAAGGTCCGTCCCCTGTCAGCAGCTGCAGAGTGGGATGCTTGCTGTCTGGAAGCAGCGGTCTCTTTGCAGAGGTCCCACACATCTGAGCCAAAGCCCTGCAGGCAGCTTCAGTCTAATGATTGAAAAGCTATCTCTGGCTCAGTAAGGGGTCACTCAGACCTCGACAGAGAGTTGCTGCTTCCACAAGAAGCACAATGGCCCCACACTGCATCTGCTGGCAAGGGACAAGCTTTTCTACTCAGGCTTTTGCTGCTTGATGACCCATTCCCCAAACCCAACATAGTGGCCAAAGGGGGTTGTGCTAGAGTTGCCACCTCATCCCTTTATTTGCCTCCCGTCCGCCATATAAGGTAATGACGGGCGCAAGGCGGTTCTCTCGTTCATATGACATCCACCCACTCTAAACCGCGCGTGCGGGTCTCCCGGAGCACGCAGCACGGCGATCGGTGGTGCGCTGTGTCCTTCGGACACAGCGGATCACCGATTCATGGAAAGAGCTGAAGATGTTGGCTTGGTCATGTGATCAGCTGTGTCCAATCACAGCTGATCACATGTAAATAACGAAATTCTGGATGTCGGCATTTCTCTCCTCATGAGCTGTCACGCTGACCTTTCGAGAGGAGAGCCGGTAATCGGCATTCCTCAGAGGGGACATGTACACTGATCATCAGAGCACTGATGATCAGTGTGCTCTGATGATCAGTGTAGCCCCAGCATTGCCACCTGTCAGTGCACATCAATGCCACATAGCAGTGCCCATCTGAGCTGCCAGTCAGTGCCACCTATCAGTGCTGCCAGTCAGTGCCTCCTATCAGTGCGCGTCATTAGTGCCAGTCAGTGCCACTTATCAGTGCCATATATGAGTGCTGCCTTTCAGTGCCCTTCAGTGATGCCTGAAATACCCATCAGTGCCACCTACTAGTGCCCCCTCATCAGTGCCTCCTCATCAGTGCGCATCACTGCAGCCTCATTAGCGCACATCAGTGAAGAGAAAAATCACTTGTTTACAAAATTTTATTACAAAAAATAAGAAAAAACTTGTTTTTTTTTCAAAATTTTCAGTTGTTTTTGGTTTGTTTAGCAAAAAATAAAAAACCCAGAGGTGATTAAATACCATCAAAAGAAAGCTCTGTCTCAAAAAAATGATAAAACTTTCATATGGGTACAGTGTTGCATGACTGCGCAATTGTCATTCAAAGTGTGACAGCGCTTAAAGCTGTAAACTGGCCTGGGCAGGAAGGGGATATAAGTGCCCGGTAGGCAAGGGGTTAAAACCGAACACATATTCATTACACAGGTTCTGTGGCTGATTAACTACTAGCCTACAGGGCACCTTGACAATTGCACGGTCATGCAACACTGTATCCATATGAAATTTTTATAATTTGTTTTCACATAAATAGAGCTTTCTTTTGGTGGTATTTAATCATCACTGGGGTTTTTTTTTTTGCTAAACAAACAAAAAAAGATTTAACATTTTGAAAAAAAAATTGTTTTCTTAGTTTCTGTTATAAAATTTTGCAAATAATTTTTCTTCTTCACTGATGTGCGCTGATGAGGCTGCACTGATAGGCACTGATAAGCTCCCACTGATGAGGAGGTGCTGATCAGGTTGCACTAATGGGTGGCACTGATAAGCTGCACTGATTGGCACTGATAATCAGTGCCCTGATTATCAGTGTAAACCATGTACAAACAGCCCGGCCAGTTATCAGCTCTCCTTTCTTTACACAGACACAACGTGTGAGGAAAGGATTGCTGATAACCAGCAAGTATGTTTACATGTGATCAGCTGTATTTGGGCATAGCTCATCACATGGTAAAGGTCTACTGTGATTGGCCCTGTACTACAATCTGTGATCAAGGGACACAGCGGTCACATAGCATGCTCGATGCACGTCCCAAGGGCTCACAGGTAGTTAGGTTCTGGGAGGACATCCATGGACGCCCTCCCAGAACTGGACGACTGCACTGTAGCTGTCTTTTGGTCAAAAAATGGTTAAAATTAATGGGCCAAAAACCCAAACTTCTGTCCCAAAGAAGATTATGTACTTTTCTGAGTTTCACATGACAGATGGCAAACAATACAATGCTCAAGTGTGATCAGGCCAATCAAAAATAATAGGATTTTTCATTCTGATCATTATTGCACTTTGGGAAACGCAAAACAAAACCCTTAGATGTGAATGGGGGCTAGGCTCATTGGCCCACTAAAGCTTGCTTTTTCACGTGTACCTACAGGTATACCTATAATAAGGCTTACCTGTAGGTACAGTGAATATCTCCTAAACATACATCATTTAGGAGATAGTCACATGTGTAAGAGCTGGTCAAGTCACCGGCTGTGAATGGATGACACACTCAAGTATGCCGCCCATTGACAGAACTTTGCTGCGATTGTGACTCCCGTGTGCATGCGTGGGACTGACGTCATTGCAGCTTGGCCAATCAAATGGCCAGAACCTGTGAATCTCAAAGGAAGACCAGGTGAAGATAGAATCCCAATCAACAGTGACAGCTTTCTGCTGGAGGGATCTGTTTTATAGGCAAGTCTGTCCAAATGTGCTGGTGTGCAGTGCATACTACACAATATGACATTACCTGTTGGGGGACCATTATTATTTTTTTTTTCTTACATGGTTTACTACCGCTTTAAGAAGTATGAAAGGCTGAAAATGTAAGCCATAACTTCTAAGTGTGGCAGCTGTCCAGCTCACACAATATATGTAATAAATGCTGTATATCTTGTGCCTTGTTTTGCAGCAATCCCTGTGGAAGCAGTATCGCCAGCAACTCCTGCAGTGCCTGGAACATCTTATAGTGTCTGTGTCCAGCTTCTCTCCTCTACAGGCCCCCAGTGGTGTCAAAGACAGTGTGTGGAAACGGTTTTGCCAATGCCTGGCATGTCAAGGCTTAATATCTGCCTCAAGTTCCTCAAGTTTGAACTTGGAGTCCCAGCATTTTTTGTATTAGTCCAGTAGATTTTCCTTTATACTTCATACTAGACGATAATTTCTACTATCAGAGCATGCGGTATGAGGTGTATCAGCTGGCACGTAAATGTAAGTACTTTCCATTCATTACTGGCTTTCCGGATTAGACATTTTATCCTCACTATCGCTATATTGGTTTCTCTAAAGCTTGGTCATACGCACCCAATACAAGGGTGGTTTAGGTTTTTTTGCTTTGAGCTTTTGTCTTTGGTATGGACAGAGGTCAGGAGGCCTCAAAGCTGCTCTGTCTGACAGTCAATTAGTGGGATTCTAAGAGGGAATTAGGATAGAAGAGAAGATCTGATTCCAAAACAAGGATAGTCTTAGGTTTATTCACCTTCACCTGGTGTCCCAGGTATGAACAGAGGATATAGAGTCATAGAGCTTCTCCATATGAACTTTGCAGACAATGGATTGGTGGGGATTCGAATAGTAGAGAGAATTTCATTCTGAAACAAATATAGTCTTATATGTATTCACTTTCAGTTGTTGCCCCTGGTATGAACAAAGGATATGAGGCCTCAGAGCTTCTCCATATAAACTCTGCAGACCATGAATATGGAGAGATATGGAGTGGGAATCAAATTAAAAGAGAAGGTCTCATTCAAAAACAAGTATAGACTTTATTCACTTTCTGCTCCTGTCCCTGGTATGAACAGAGGATAGAGCCTTAGAGCTTCTCTGTTTAATTTTTCAGACAGTGGATTGGGGAGATTTGGAGTGGGAATTGGTATAGAAAAGAAGGTCTCATTCTGAAAAAGGGTCTTATTAGATTTATTTATGATCAACTTTACAGACACTGGCTTGGTGGGGTTCAGGATGGGGATTGGGTTTATGGCTATAAAAATTTTAATTGCAGTTTCATAAATTAGTCAGACTGTGTTCACACACACTATACTTACCTTTTTTTTTGGAAGGCTTTAAAGAAGAATTATCATTAAAATTTTGTTTAATGGCATTTAAAGTGATTATTGAGCTTTTAGAATTTAATTTCTTTTTTTTAAATAACAAACATGTTATACTTACCTGCTCTGTGTGATGGTTTTGCACAGAGCAGCCCCAATCTTCTTCTTCTCGGGTCCCCTGCTGGCGCTGTCCGCTCTTCCTGCCTGCGGAGTGCTCTCATAGCAAGCCACTTGCTCTGAGTTCTCTTTTGCTAATCTGAATGAACAAGCAGCGCTGATTGCTCATTCATAAGGGTAGATTTAAGCATGCATCCAAATCTCCCTTGCCACTGAAGCCTGATCCGCATTTGGAGTCTACTGGCAGGCAGTGAGGAAGCGATGCGACCGCCTGTTTTAACCCAGTTTTTGTCAACAATCGCAAGCACTTGCAGGACATTTGCTGCCCTTCCCCATTTACTAGAATGTGTAGCGGGCGGCAGGTTACATGTTGTGTGAACTTTGCCACGGGCGCGATGCATTGCGAGGTTTCCTGCTCTATCCTGAACTAAAAGGAAACGTTTTAGCTGGGCCTACATGCTAATATTTGAAAAATGCAGTGCTTTCCTTGTGTATTCATCATCCCTTCTTTCCCAGATTCTCTGGGATTCTGTCAGTTGTATTTGCAGTGCTCGACTGAAAGCTGCTTGCAGAGGAATAAAGGCAGACAGATCCCTGTAATGGATAAGACAATTCTTCTGATGGAGAGGAAAATAGAGAAGCCCAACCCTGAGAAGAATACTTGGGAAGAGAACAGTCTATTCCTGGACAGCTCTGGAGGAGACATAGCAGATGAGTAAGGATGGAAAGAACTTGCTATGTAGGTGACATAGATTGTATCACGTAGCACATTATATTCTGAATATACAGTGCTCAGTATAAATCAGTACACCTCAACAGATTTGTCAGAAAACCTTTACTTTCCTTTCAGAATCAACATTTTCTATGGGACACTATACTACAAAATACTTCCACAAATGCGGGCCGTTGATTGCAAACAAAATATGTTCATCTGCACACACAAATAAGTAATTTTCCTAATAAATTAATTCAAAGACCATGTTGCAAAAATGATTACACCCCAATGAAAGCTTAGGAGCAAAGATAAATTGTATTCTAATTAACAAGAATTCAACTACAGGTGAGTCTAATTATTCATTAAACAGGTGTCCAGCAGACAGTTGATTATAAAAGGGCATTACTTAACAAAGAAAACCCCTTCCCATTTCATGCTGTCAGCAATGGCGCCACATGGAAGAGAAATGTCACAAGGCCTAAGAAAGAAAAATAATTTCTGAAGGCTACAAGAAAATAAGCAAAGCTTTACTGTTCTGTCAGAACACTATAGCAAAAGTGATACAAAAATGTAATAAAGATAGAACTGAAACCATCTCACGGAGACGTCCAGGCCATCCACGGAAGTTAATACCTCAACAGGAGCGTCTTCCGACAAGAAGGGTTGAAGAAAATCGCCATGCATGTTCACTGCAGTTAACTAAAGAAGTAGAAAGCCAAACTGGGGTGACTGTTTCCTGTGACACAATACGGCATACACTGCAGAGGAATGGCATGCATGGGTGTCATCCACAAAGGAAGCCTCTCCTAAAGCCCATGCATAAAAAAGCCCACCTAGAATTTGACAGGGCCTATGCTGAAAAAGAAGACTACTGGGGCTCTGAACTCTGGAGTGATGAGACCAAGATAAATCTTTTTGGAACTATTGGGTTCAAAACTGTATGATGTCGCAAAGGTGAGGAGTACAAAGAAAAATGCATGGTGCCTACAGTGAAACATGGTGGTGGCAGTGTCCTTCTGTGGGGCTGCATGAGTTCTGCTGGTGTTGGTGAGCTGCATTTCATTGCTAGTATCGTGAATTCACAGATGTACTGCTCTATATTGAAAGAGAAGATGCTGTCATCACTCTGTACCCTTGGTTGTCGTGCACTTTTCCAACATGACAATGATCCAAAACAAACTTCTAAGGCCACTGTTACATTTCTGAAGAAGAACAGGATGAAAGTGATTCAGTGGCCAAGTATGTCCCCTGATCTAAACCCAATCAAACACCTATGGGGAATTCTGAAGAGAGAAGTTGAACATCACTCTCCATCCAGCATCCAGGCTCTAAAAGAGGTCATTCTTGAAGAATGGAAAAAGATAGATGTTGTAATATGACGCCAACTCCATGCCTAGAAGACTTGGTGCTGTCCTTACAAATCATGGAGGTCATGCAAAATACTAGATGTAGTAGTTTTTGTTGTGGGGTGTATTCATTTTTGCATCAATTAATTTGAGTAAAACTGAAGATTTTGTAATCTAAGTTATATTATTAACCTTATTTTCATGTAATGAGCCGAAAAAATGTTCTATAAAACTCAGTTTTGTCAAATTGTGGAAATTGTTCTTGTGTTCATTGAGAAATTGATTAAAATCTTACTTTTCAAAAGGGGTGTACTCATTTATGCTGAGCACTGTATATACTATAATAGATCTAATTTATATTGAGTTGTAGGTTTTTATAGCCTGCCTTCTAGCTGAGGACTTTATTCAGTAAAGAGTTTAAAGCCCAACTCCAGTTCCAGTTTCTTAAATATATGCATAGAGTACCCTCCTATCCATTAAGATAAATGAGTCCTCTTTGTAATAATTACCTTATCCATGTAGCATTGCTGCTCCATATTTTCAAATTCTTCTTTCTTCTGTCCCACTTCCTGGTTACGTGACACACAGCATCATTTAACTTCATTTTTGTGAGCCCAGGCTGTCATGGACACGCTCTTATATTCCAGGCTGCTTGGGATCACTGAGGGTGTTGTTGCTAGCAGTCGTGAGCAAAATTATATCTGCAGTGTGGTGTCCACTAAAGTTAAGGCTACATGTATGAACATGCAGATTTACAAACGCTGATGAAGTCCATCCACATCCCAACAGAAGGAAGGGGGCAGCCGTTCTCACGTGACTTATGCAGGCCATAGATGGGTCGAAAATCAGCCGATTTTTCGTCCGCAAAAAAAAAAAAAAAAAATCGGCCGATTTTTTTTGCACCGTTAACGGGTTAATTGGTCGGCCGTTTTTCTGGATTTTGCCAGATTTTTTTTGATCGGTGAAGTTGGGAAAAAATCGGTCGATTTTCGCGGCAATGATGGGCAAATTGGCTGATCTTTTTACCAATAAAAAATCTGCGCATGATCCGGGAGCTGCAAGAAAAAGAAGACGACGAAGAGAAAGAAGTAGAAGAAGAAGAAGAAGAAGAAAAGAAGAGAGAGGAAGAATTCCAGTCCGCTATTATATTTGAGATGAAAAAGTATTGTGGTTGCAACAAGGTATCTATTTGTATCCGAAAAAACCATCTGTATCCGAAATGGATACAAATAGATACACCGCAATACTTTTTAATGTCAAATATAATAGCGGGGCTCTCTGCAGGGACAGAAGTAATTAAATGCCGGCCGTAGACGGGAAAGAAAATCGGCCATTTTTTTTTTTTTTACTGTTGGTTGTAACGTCGGCCTATTGAACGACCGATTTTTCATTTTTTTGTTAAAAAAACGGCCGGTTTTATCCCCATCTATGGCCTGCATTACTCATTTTTTAAAGATCCTAAAGTGGTTGCTCTATGCATGAAGGTAAAAACCTTCTGTGCGCAGCTCCCTCTCAGTCCCTCCTAATACTCACCTGAGCTTGATCTCATTCAAGCGATGTGCAGGTAACCAGCAGCTCTCCTGGGTCTCTGCCTCCTCATTGGCTCAGACACAACCGTGGGGGCCATTGGCTCCCACTCCTGTCAATCACAGCCAGTGAGGAGGGTGCAGGGGACAGGGCTGAGTCATGCTCTGCTGTGTCTGTGTGCAGAAGTGGGGCTCGGGGACGAGCATGCACCAGTGCCCCCCATAGCAAGCAGCTTGCTATGGTGGCACTGCTTAGGGATGAGTAAGAAAAAAGTGATAGCAAAAAAAATCCCCCCCGGGACTTTAAAGACAGAGAAAATATATGCAGGATCAAAATATCTTAAAAAACAAGTATCAACCTGTAGATAATTATTGTTAGTAAAAAAACAAAGAACCACATAGGTCCATAAAACCACATAAGCAGGTGGACTGAAAGGGCACATACAGAGTACATACACCCTAGCATACAAAGCCCTGTAAGTTTAGGTGGACGGCCATGTCTTGGTAGGTTTGCAGTTGTGCCATACTCTTTCCATTTTCGGATGATGGATTGAACAGTGCTTCGTGAGATGTTCAAAGCTTGGGATATTTTTTTTGTAACCTAACCTTGCTTTAAATTTCTCCACAACTTTATCCCTGTCCTGCCTGGTGTGTTCCTTGGCTTTCATGATGCTCTTTGTTCACCAATGTTCTCTAGCAAACCTTTGAGGGCTTAACACAACAGCTGTATTTATACGGAGATTAAATTACACACAGGTGGACTCTATTTACTAATTAGGTGACTTCTGAAGGCAATTGGTTCCACTAGATTTTACTTAGGAGTATCAGAGTAAAGGGGGCTGAATAAAAATGCATACTGAAGTTTGTGGTCTTGTGAGCTACTATGGTGTATGCTACAATATTTAAATATTACCAATGCTGTGTGGTAAAATCAATACAATAATAAAATGAAATTATCATAAAATTGTGTAAATAAATATGTGAAAATTAATGGTTCGCTTACACTCTACACATACTCATACCATTGTGTCATAAAAAAATTAAATCAGAAATGGTGTCATGCTCCACTACCAATTGCAAAAAAATGTAAATAAATAAATAACAGTTCAGCTTGGAAAGTGTGGATAATGTTATCTCTGCAAATATATTACTGCTGCAAACATGTCCTTATTAATCATTGACTCTTCTTCCAGTGCTGTGATACAAAATTAAGTGTGCAGTTCACCAATCATAAAAAATGTTGTACACCTTGACCAGTTGTGCTCTCACCTGGTGTTTATGACCAGACCGTTAAGTGAGGTCATAAAAGACTTGTGTCCCTTTAATGGGGCTAAGTGGTAAATGGATGGGATGGTCCCTCATCCATCCATCCCAGGGAAAGAGGGATCATCCCATCCATTTACCACTTAGCCCCATTAACCTCCTTAGCAGTGTTCCCGAGTGTAGCTCGGGGTAGAATTTCTATACCACAAGCGGTAACCCCGAGCTACACTCGGGCTTACCATGCGGCGCTGCTCTGGGGGTCCCTGCAGCACTTACCTTGTCCTTCGTTCCCACGATGTGTCCCCTGCAGCGTCCCCGGCCATCTCCTCCAGCCGATGCCGGCATCCGGCTTCTGTGTTCCGGTCCCCGTGACGTCGGGACGTACGGGCGCGCCGCCGCCGCCGGCGGCGGAAATTTAAAAAATTTAAAAAATGTCTTTTTTTTTTCAATTTTAAATAATAAAACATTGCTGTTTCATCCCATTTCACATACATATTGTCCCTAGTGCTTTGCCCTGTGCCCTACCTGCATTTTGTCTGTTCTTTCTGCCTGGAAACTTAGAAAAGTCCATGGCGTCCAAAAAGCGTCCATTTTACGTCAAAAGCGGTTTTAGACCGGCTAGAGAACAGCGATAGTAAATCAGAACCACTTACAGAATTGAGTGATAATGATTTGTGGGGAAATTTTCCTAAAAATTACAGCCTACAATAAAAAACTATTTCCATGCGAAAAAATGGTACCGCTTTCAGCACAAAAAATCAGAAGGAATCATACCGCCAAGGAGGTTAAAGGGACACAAGTCTTTTATGACCTCACTTAACGGTCTGGTCATATACACCAGGTGAGAGCACAACTGGTCAAGATTCCATTATTAGCTGAGGGCAGGATAGGCTTCCCTGAAGAGAGAGGTTTTCAGAGATCGCCTAAAAGTGAGCAGAGTAAGTGATAGTCTGATAAATTGGGGTAGAGAGTTCCAGAGGATGGGGGAAGCTCTGGAGAAGTCCTGGAGATGAGCATGGAAGGAGGAGACAAGGGAGCTAGAGAGCAAGAGCAGGAGGTCGTGCGAGGAATGGAGAGTACGGCTTGGGTGATATTTGGAGACAAGATTGGTGATGTAATTTGGGGCAGAGTTATAAATGGCTTTATATGTTATTGTTAATGTTTTGAATTTTATCCGTTGGGCAATGGGAAGCCAGTGGAGGGATTGGCAGAGAGGGATGGCTGATACAGAACAGTTAGTAAGGTGGATGAGTCTGGCAGCAGCATTCATGATAGACTGAAGAGGGGATAGCCTGTGATTAGGTAGGCCAATGAGGAGGGAGTTACAATAGTCAAGGCGAGATACAACCAGGGAGTGAATAAGTTGCTTAGTGGTTTCCGAGGTTAGGAACGGACGAATCTTGGAGATGTTGCGGAGGTGAAGTCTACAAGATCTGGACAGTGATAGGAATTATGCATGTGGGCTAAAGAGGCTAGTAAATAAAAGTTAGGGAAAACATTAGTGAAAGGTCAACTTTAAGGGGACAGGTTCAAGGTGGGTTGATCTGAATATTGTACAATTTCACTGTATCTACTATATTGTTTTTTTTTTAGTACACGAATCAATGACTTGCTGAGTGGAGCCCTGGAAACCCCTATGCAACCGCTCGATGATGATGATAATGAAAGGGTAGGTGAATGAAGTTTGATATATTATCATGCTACATTAGGCCCCTTTCACATTGCTCAGCAGGGGATCTGTCTGCTGATCAGAGCAGAACAGTTGGATGACAGGTCCGTGTCCGCTCAGTTTATGCAGAGTGGACGAGGACAGAGCTTGTTCTACTGTATGACTGGCCGGGTGTAAACTGATCGGCTGCCTTTTAACCCCTGACTACCTGCAATCCAGTCTGCCTACAAAGAGCAAAACGGACCCCCTTCCATTTTTTCGCAGACTGGATGACACACAAGTCCATTTACACCTGCCAGTCCATAAGGATGAAATGTTACACAGCTGTGTAAACTTGTACATACCAAAACAAACATGGCATACACTTAAAAACAGTTAAAAAAAAAAGCGTGTCTGCATTATTATTTTTTGCTTGTTGCGCGTGTGTCAAAATAGGCTTCCTTGGGGGTGTAAGGAAAGGCTAATTTTTTTTTTTTTTTTTAATTTTGCCTCCCCATTGCTCTGCATACATTTCAGCATAAATTGCTATGTAAACCTTTCGGGGCCAACTTCTTTCTTTTCTTTCCTTTTTCTTCCCCTTATCATTCACACCCCTCCTACTTCCTTCCCCTTTCCATCCATGTCCACCCTTCCCTTCATGCATTCTCCCATTTAACAAGACCATTTCTCACCTTCAATATAACATCATACAAACCAAGATCACTCTCGCCATTCCTATTTTTAGTAATGGACTCCATCACAATCCCAACAAAAAAAAAAAAACCAAATATTATATTTTCTTTTGTTTATCTATAAGTTATGTTTTTTTTTTAAATAAACATTAATTGCGAAGTGAAAACTGTACACAGATGGAATGCATTTTGCCCAAGTTATAAATTGTATATAGAAAAAAAATTATAATATATATTTTGTTTTAAGTTTTTCTATACATGACATGACTACAAAGCTTTGGCTTCTTGATGTCAATGTACCCACAGTGGACAAAATTACATAAAGCCATGAAGTCACCTGGCAGCTCTGACTGTTGTTCAGGAAGAGTTAACTCCCACCAGCTGCACATGAGGAGCCAACACTATACAGTTAGGTGACCGCATAGAAAAATTTGGGGGGAAAAAAGGTATTTACACAGATATTTATGCTATAATATATGCAGGGAAATAGGGCGGCAACATTTTAAAGTAGGTTTATTGTAGCTTTTGCGTCCATGTCAATGCACAGCACCATTAGGCTACATTCACACAGGTGAATTTCATACCCTGCCATTTCCAGCAGCTGATTCCTGTGTCTGGAATGACAGGTTTGTGCAAGAAGCTGCAGACGCAAAGCACATACAAAACAATGACAGGCTGGTGGCCTAATTGCAGCTACAGTGCATTTAATGTAATACATTCAGAACTTAAATATGAAGGCGAAAGAAAGGCAAACCATTTGTGTATACATATAAAAACATTATAAATACTTTTTTTTTTTTTCTCCTCCATGTTTATAAGTGATCACATACCCTCTGTTCTCAGCTGCACTAAGAGCTCAAAGAGGTGGGGGAAGAGAAACAGCAGGATACTGATCTTCCCAGTGAATGGCTGTACAGGAGGGGGGGGGGGGGGGGGAGAGGTGGCAGCACACTGATCTTCCCAGTGAATGGCTGCGCAGGTAGGGAGTGTCAGCAGAAGTCTTATCATTAGAGGATAGCAGGCTGAGTTCTCAGCACAGCTAGAAAACCAACCACCCTGTGCTCATATGCCTAGTGTGGTCAGTTTCTAATAGGAAAGCAGAGGGACTAGCAGGATCACCAAGTATTTCACACAAAGGAAATACACAATACTTTTTAACTGAAGTACATGGTACAACAGACACATATCAGGAATATGAAATGTTGGGTTGATATTCTTTAATTGCAAGGCTGAAAAACACATGGCAGCGCATGTTAAGTTGCAGTTGACACTGTATGCATTTACAGCTGCATCTGGTGTGAATGACCTGTCACTGCCCATACTCCTGCTCTGAGTTTTGTACCTTACTTCTTATCAGTTCCCATTATTCAATTATCTGCTGTCTTCTGTTAACAGGAAAGAGATCGTGAAATCTGTGCGGCCAGTCTTGTCCATCAGGCAGATCAAAGTCTACGACGGCTCATCTCAGAAACGATGCATAAATTAAAAGGTACTGTTGTACAATGACAGCACAGCAGCTATTCGAAGTCTGACATCTTTTCATCACGAATGAATTATTTACAAAAGCAGCTGTCATGGATCCCGCTTTCTTTATCTTAAAATGTTTTATTGACCTCAACCCAGCTAAGATTTGAAAGCTGCTAGCAGTATCTGATGTAAGAGCTACTGAGGCGTACATGCCAAATGTCACAGGGTAGCTGAAGAACTTTGATCTATATTTGTTTATTAAAACTACTAGATTTGGCTTTGAAGCAGCCTTTAAAGTTGAACTGTACCCCAGTGTTTGATTAGGGATGACGTATAGCAGAGTTTGATCCACTGGCCAATAACTGCTTTCCATTAGCCCGAGAAAAACATTTCCCTAAACTCCGCTTCTCTAGGGTGGACAGCTCTGTCTCAGATGTGAGATGAATTGCTTTGTTCCTTTCTGGAGTATTTTGTCCTTCTATTCCTATAAATCAGGGGTATTGACTTAAAATTCAAGGAGCTCCAGTCAGTAAAATTCCCTTCCAGCAGAAGTCCAAATCTCATGTTTGTGCTCTGACCCATATATGCGGTCCGTGTATGTCTATCAGAAAATAGACCCCATCATAGTGCACTCTAACATCAGGTGGCCCTACCAGAGTGCCCCTTTACTGTAAGCCACGTGCACACGATGAGAATATCAGACAAAAAAAATTGCTTTTGGAACAATCGTCTGATAATCTGATCATTAGTGCGCAGCTGATGAGGACAGTTCATGCGAAAATATTGTTATAAGATAACAAAATGAAGAGTTTTTGTGTACAATATTTTTCGCTCCATAAGACACACCTGACTATAAAACGCACTTAGATTTTAGAGGAGGAAAAAAAATATTCTGGTCATCTCCTGTACTGTGTCTGCAGTCCATTGGTTCAGAGACTGCGGACACAGTACAGGGGATGACCAGAGCTTGCGGACATAGTACAGGGGATGACCAGAGCTTGCGGACACAGTACAGGGGATGACCAGAGCCTGCGGACACAGTACAGGGGATGACCAGAGACTGCGGACCTTTGGGGGGGGGGGGGGGGGTACCCACTCCCTCGGAGTTGTCTTTCCCCTCCCTCCCCTTAATCTTCTGGGACATGCGACAGTTCCCAGAATATTACAGGGTCATACACAAAGCAGGGCACTTCTCGCGCATGCGCAGAGGGCACCCAGCTGTGAAGCCACAAGCTGTCACAGCCGGGTGCCCGTGCCGGGGAGAGATTGTGAGGACACTGCTGGACCGAGGAACAGGTAGGACCGCTGGAGGTCTGCAGAGAAGAGCCGAGCGGCCGGCCCCAGAATTCTGACATGGGAATACCAGGGCTGGCCGCTCCATATTCGCTCTATAAAAGACACACAGACATTTTCCCCCATTTTTTTTTGGGGGGGGGGGGGGTCAGAAGTGCATCTTATGGAGCAAAAAATACGGTAATTAGTATAGTATTTTTCCGAAAAAAACTTGTGTCCCCAAGACCACACATGCTCGGAAACAAAAAACACATTACAATAAAATACATCACATCTGAAGTTGTATTCTGAGGAGAATTTTCTGAACTTTAATAACCTATTCGTTTTCTATATGAGACTACCATGCAAAAAAAAAACAAACAAAAAAAAAACGGATGCTCATTTGTCCAATATTCTCGCGTGTATGAGGCTTTAGTGATATGTCTTTTCTAAGGCAGGCACACACAGGGTGGGAGCCAGGAGTTGAAGCAGTGGGCAGGGCCGTATGTGACATTGTTGGATGTTAGGACACTGGTGATCCTAGCCAACAATGACTGCTGCAGATGGAGGAATCCTGGGCTGGTGGTCCAGATAGAACTGTCACACGATTCGGGTTTGAACCATGCTCTGCTATTTAGTGTAGTCTGTTTTAAAAAAAACCATTAAAGGGTTAGTGATACCATAAGGTTTGTGTCTTCCTGCAGACATTCTCTATTCTTTCCACATTGGGTCAGCTATTACCATTACCAGCAAGATGTAAAAAAATGTAACACAGAGGCCCACACTGCATTTGGTTCCGGTATAATTTCATATACTGTCACCTGGCAAGTCTTATACTCACCCAAGCCTGATCCACCAAGATGTCCCCTACAAACTTGCTTGTCAAAGGCTTCTAAACTAGGATCACACATACACAGTTAATCTCTTTTCAATCCTATGCACCAGCAAAATATTAATACATTCTGTGCATGTGTGGGCCTGGCTATGAAAATGTTGACGAATGACTCGATGGCTTAATTGGTGATATTGCACTGGATCATGTACATGGGGGGGCAGTACAATATAAATGTAACTGCACCAAAGGTGTGATGATAGGCAAATGTAGCTTGGTTTCAGGTGCATTCCACTTGTATTCAAGATCAGAGTGCATTCCATCTAATATCATGTGAATTGAGAGGTGTGTATGAACTCTCTTATGAAGCTGCATCAACCTGCTTCCATCTCCTTTGCATTTTCATTGACTTTATGGAGGTAGAAGCAGATCTAGAGTGAACAAAAAGCCCATTGGCACAGGCCCTAAAAGGATCTTTTATACAAATATAAGAGCTTCTGACTTGCACCTGAAGGTGTAAACTCCAGGACTGTACTCTTATTCTTCCATTATTACTTGGTGAATCACTGACCTAAGACAAGGATAGGCATATCTGGTGTTAAGACACCTGATATAGTTCTGCTTATTCCAGATCAGGGGCGGACTGACAACTCATGGGGTTCCCGGGCAATAGGAGATCATGGGGCCCCTGTGTCCTTGGCCAAACTCAAAAAAGCCTATGAAAAAGGTACAAGGGGCATCTCATGGGGCCCCCTACTGACCCCAGGCCCTCGGGCAGTGCCCGAGTTTCCAAATGGTCAGTCCAAATCCATCACTCACTAGGTAGTGAAGGCATGGTCAGAAATTGAAGGATGGTCCTGGTAACTGTAAGTTCAAAACAGGTAAGCATCACAAAAATAACTTTGATTTTGTATTTTCAGGGTCATCTGCTAGCCAGGATATTAAGAGAATTTCCCAAGAACTCCAATGTGTAAAGTCTAAGGCTTTGGAACAATTAAGGGAGCATATCACTGTACAGACTGTCCTACCTGACAAAGACAGAAGTTTTGATGTTCAGTCATATTTTACAGAAGAAAAAGAGCGGATATTGCAGCCGTTCTTGTGCCAGTCTCAGAAGCCATGGATGGATTGCCAAAAATCTTCTGCCATCTCCTAGTAAATATGTAGATACATACTATTGCTTCTATAAATTTATCTTTTATCTATATGTTTAACTGAATTTTTCCCACAGAAAAATCTCCACAATGATTACCTTGCTTTTAAAATCTGGAAGGATTACAAGCCCCAGACCCCATATAATATACAGTACAACCCTTATCACGCCTCTTTTTATATGCATATCAAATAATACATGCTCATTGCATCAGTGCCAAATTATATCAGTGTAATACACAAATTCAGCAGGAGTTGGCACTTTAGATTCAGCTTTTATACCAGAAAAATAAAAAGCTGCTGAAGCATGGAACCTTCCCATTATTTTTTTTAACCACTTGCCTACAGGGGGTCAATCTGCCATATATGTAAAAATCTGCATTTGTTTTCTAGAAAATAACTTATAACCCCAAAACATATATTATATATAAAATATATATATTTTTTTTTTTTTAACCGGAGGCCCTAGAGAATAAAATGGAGGCCCTAGAGAATAAATACCTTATGCAATTTTTTTTGTCACAAGGTATTTACCCAGCAGTTTTTCAACCACAAATTTTTTGGAAAAAATACACTTTGAGTTTTGCTGTACGCAATATAATACCCATTTTTTTTTTTTGTAAAACAGATTGGAGCATTTGTTTGTAAGGTGCTCAGAGGACAGTGGGAATTAGGAAGTAACCTATTGCTTGTCACCCAGTATGCAGTTTGATATATTAGCAATTGTACCATGTAAATCAGCAGAGTTTCTGACAAGCTATAGGCAAAGGTTTCAGGCTGCGATGCTGAATTTATTTTTTTTTTTAACTCCATGGCTGCAATTTTATCACTCCAGAACTAGCTTGCAGCTTAATCGCCCCACGCAGATAACCAGAAGAGGCTAGACTCTGTTAGTATGCAGATCATTAAAAGTACCACTGCAATCAGGTGAAGCTGAGCGCTCCTCCTGAAAACACGTAATTGCTGTTTTGAGCCTCACATATAAAGTGCCAAAATCCAAAGTATTCAAATAGTACCTAACTGAAATATTTCATTTGGTGAAGAAATCCTGTAAAAGACAATTTCTGATTGCTTACTATGGATTATTGCACTTTGTGCATCTCCTCTGCACAATTCTATTAAAACCCTTTTATATTTTTTATTTTCTTTAATTTAAATATACTATATTGCCAAAAGTATTGGGACATTTCTCCAAATAATTAGATTCAGGTGTTCCAATCACCTCCATGGCCACAGGTGTATATAATCAAGCACCTAGACATGCAGACTGCTTCTACAAACATTTGTGAACAAAAAAATGGTCGCTCTATGGAGCTCAGTGAATTCAAGCGTGGTATCGTGATATTGCACCGATGCAACCTCTGTCCATCTGTCAAATTTCCTTGCTACTAAATATTCCAGTCAACTGTTAATGGTATTATAACAAAGAGGAAGCAAGTGGGAACAGCAACTCAGCCACCAAATGGTAGGCCACATAATGACAGAGCAGGGTCAGCACATGCCGAAGTGCACAGAAGTCGTGTACGGTCTGCAGATTCAATAGCTAAAAACCTCCAAACTTCATGTGGCCTTCAGATTAGCACAACAACAGTGCATAGAGAGCTTCATGGAATGGGTTTCCATGTCCAAGCAGCTGCATCCAAGCCTTACATCACCAAGTGCAATGCAAAGTGTCAGATGCAGTGGCGTAAAGCACGCCGCCACTGGACTCGAGAGCAGTGGGGACATGCTCTCTGGAGTGATGAATCATGCTTCTCTGTCTGGCAATCTGATGGACATGTCTGCGTTTGACGGTTGCCAGAACGGTACTTGTCTGACTGCATTGTGCCAAGTGTGACGTTTGGTGGAGGGGGGGTTATGGTGTGGGGTTGGGCTTGGCCCCTTAGTTCCAGTGAAGGGAACTCTTAAGTCATTAGCATACCAACACAATTTAATGCTCCCAACTTTGTATGAACAGTTTGGGGATGGCCAGTTCCAACATGACTGCGTACCAGTGCACAAAGCAAGGTCCATAAAGACATGGATGAGCGAGTTTGGGGTGGAGGAACTTGACTGGCCTGCACAGAGTTCTGTCCTCAACCTGATAGAACACCTTTGGGATGAATTAGAGCAGAGACTGTTAGCCAGGCCGACATCAGTGCCTGATCTCACAAATGCGCTTCTGGAAGAATGGTCAAACATTCCCATAGACACCCTCCTAAACCTTGTGGACAGCCTTCCCAGAAGAGTTAAAGCTGTTATAGCTGCAAAGGGTGGGCCAACCCAATATTGAACCATACGGACTAAGACTGGGATGCCACTAAAGTTTGTGTGTAAAGGTAGGCATCCCAATACTTTTGGCAATATATAATGTCTACATCAATAAAGGTTCATGATCTCGCAGATGTCCAGGTCAATAATAGGTTCATGATCTCAATTTAAAGACTAAGTGCAGCTAAAATTAAAAACCGAAAAATCAGCACAGGAACATAACTTACACTCAGTAGGATGTGTCCCTTGGGCCGATGCCTCTTTTTAATAGAAATCCTCCTTCGTTCTTGACCCTAGCCTTATCTGCCACCTTCCCCCCTTCCAGTGCTGTGGGGGCTAATACAACTAAGGGGCTAGTAAGGGTAAATATAATAAAGGGGCTAGCCAGAGCCTGGCTATGCCTGCCCTTTCCACCCAGCTGCTCCATTCATAGAAGCCATAATACAGCTTTTATGAACGAAACAGGGCCTATGAATGGAGGGAGGGCAGATGATTGATAGCTCCACCCCCTCCATTATTTCCTCAGTCCACTTTCTGCCCTCAGCTTCCAAATAACCACTTGCCTACTGGGCACTTATACCCCGTTCCTGCCCAGGCCAATTGTCAGCGCTGTCGCACTTTGAATGACAATTGCATGGTCATGCAACACTGTACCCATATGAAAATTTTTATATTTTTTACCACACAAATAGAGCTTTCTTTTGGTGCTATTTATTGCCGCTGGGTGTTATTTTTTACGCTATAAACAAAAAAAAGAGAAAAAAAAAAAAATTTCTTTATTTCTATTATAAAATTTTGCAAACAGGTAATTTTTCTCCTTCATTGATAGTGCCAGCTCATGAGCTGGCACTGATATGCAACAATCATGGGCACTGATGGGTGGCAGTGCTGGGCACAGGTGGGTGGCACTACTAGGCACTGCTGAGCACTAATGGACACAGGTGGGTGGCACTGATCATCAGTGCCCTGATGATCGGTGCTGATCCTTCCTCTGACAACTGCCGGTTATTGGCTGTGACAGTTGAGGAAAGTGCAGCCGATAACTGGCAACTGCATTTACCGGTGATCTGCGGTGTCATTGGACATGGCTGATCACATGGTAAAAGGCCGCTGTGATTGGCCTTTTACCACATCACGTGATCAGCTGTGTCCATAAGGGATCACCAGGAGCGTGTGGGGGAGGGTGCGTTCTGGGAGGACGTCATATGACACCCACCCAGAACTGGACAACCACGCTGTGGCCTTCATTTGGCTTTAGCCCAATTGTCAAGTGGTTAAACACAGAAGGATTAGCAGCATACTGATGAAGTCATCCTGTGCCATGAGTGGCGCACACACAGCTCTCCCTTCACCTCCTGTTCTGTGTGTATCTGTAAAAATGTGGATTTCCCATCATTTTATGTTTTTTCTTCACATTAGACAACATGAGAGACCGTGAATCTTCCCAAGTGATACACAGCAATAAAAGCCCGACAGAAGTTCCAACCCTTCCACACTTTACCTAATACTAAAAAAAAAAAAAAATTTGTACCAAAAGACATATTGGAGCTATCATTGCTGGCACTCAAATCACTTTGCGGAGATTTCCTAACATCCTCTGTCGTTTTTCTGGGACCTGAAGTAAAATTCCCACCAACCCCAATGCAGCAAGGATTGAAAACATGACATTGTGACACTAAACTCTGGTTTAAAAATATATATATTTTTTTTTTTCTTCAAGTATGTATTCTTAACTCAAAAGTACTCTGTATGGTTCTCGGCCCCCCTCAAAATTCTTACTTTTTTTGCTTCAGTTATTCAAGTTGCTGTTCAAGGGTGGCTTGTTTTTCTCCATAGTCCTACTGTAGGAGTGTAGCCACGCTCTCTTGCTTGCTCCTGAGTCAGATTACGGACAATATGATGTGTAGTGTGCACAGAGCAGTGCACATGACTGCAACGAATGGTGACGTTCAGAAGCTAACAGAGTACAAGACTGTAGAACAATACAGCAAGAATTGATTTCATGAAAAATAGATTACAGAGCCATAAAGTAGTGGATTTGTATAGATTGTATTTGAAGAACCTTGTAATACTAACCTTTACCCCCTACCACCAATTAAAGTGATTGTAAAGCTAGGGGGTTTTTTTGTTATTAAAACATTTCATACTTACCTGTTCTGTACAATGGTTTTGCACAGAGCAGCCCCGATCCTCCTTTTTTTGGGTCCCCTCCTGGTTCCGCCCCCATAGCAAGCTGCTTGCTTTGGGAGCAATTGTGCGTGCTCTGTCTCTCAGGTATGTTTTTAAGGGGACAATGAACCAAACTCAAATGCTCCTGCGCTTGGAGATGGACTCGATGCAGGCTGCAACCACATTAAGAATGTCCTGGAACATGCACACCTTGCTGCCCTCAACAGACCGGGGGAATCCAAATATACTGAATGAGGAAAGAACAAAGAGAGGGCGCACAGGCCTAGTGCATTACTATAAAAAAATGTTTAATAATAAAGTAGGTGTTGTACTCACAAACGACAAAGTCAAGGCACGTCATAAAAGAACAGCTGGGTCAACACCACGCTGAGTAACAGTCCGTAATGGGGAATGTAGACATCCAATAGGTTGACGTGTTTCGAGGACTTGCCTCTTCCTCAGAGCCTTTATTTCTTATTAAACATTTTTTATGGTAATGCACTAGGCCTGTGCACCCTCTCTTTGTTCTTTCCTCATTCATGTTTTTAAGGGGGCTATGGGGGAAGATGCTTGCATGTTTTTTACCTTACTGCATAGAATGTAGTAAGGTATATAAAAAAAAAAAAAACCTGCCTTTAAAACCACCTAAATCCTTGCCAAACTTACTTTGTTGAGCAGGAGCACAGTCTTGCACCAGTTATAGCTTGGAATTCCACTTTAAAAACCAAAGTAAATAGATAGGAACAAGCCAAGATATTGATCAGTGCTTCAGACTACATGCTGATGGTGGACAATACATTTATTAAACGGGATGGTTTACGGAGAAGTTTCAGTCTTTGGAAAAACACATAACACACTGTGAATATACTTATACAAACATACTTAGCAACTTGTGAGGATAAATTAACAAGAAAAAAAAAAAAATAAAAAAAAACACTTTAAGTTGAAATTTACCATAATTAAAACGTACATTATTTCCTTCAAGCCCCATTGCATCCAAAGGGGAAGATACCGCTATTAAATAATATGTATTATCCCTATGACAAACCATTAAAACAAGAGCATGGTGCTCCGTTATACAACATTCATGAACACTTCCAGCAATAACGATCAATATTCCTCCATAGAATACAATGATGTACACAATTAAAATGATTAACTTTTTTTCCTCCTGATGCTCTCTACGACAAGTGGCTTGGGACAACAGACAACTGGATGGCATCTAAACATTAGGTGTTTCATCCAGTGCACAAATACCATGCCCATCCTAGGTAAAAGTCAATTTTAGAGGTGCTTTCTGCTTATAGCATTCTTCATTTGCACCTTTTGAACCATTTTATCCTGGTTCCTCCCAATACTGTGATGTTAGAATCTTGGCCTTCCAGACAGAAGTCAAAGCATGTCATCACAAAAGACAAAACACACACACACACATATATTTACATCCTAATTGTATTTTCCTCACATAACAGGCACTGTAGAAACAGACCGTCCCCCGAGGAGAAGATTAGAAGAATAATCTGGGGATAAAAAAGGCCACTAGGAGTCAGTTTTGGCTGTGCTGGCCTCGAGCAAAGTGGCAAGCAAAGTCATACTTGTTTTTGCATTTGCAGCCACATATGTTGCATTGGAAAGGATTTTCAAAACCGTGGCAACCCATGTGGATTGTGTACAGTATATTGTCTGCAAAGTACATGTCACAGTGCTGGCAGTGATGAAGAAGTTGAGGGTCCTGAACCGGGAGAGCAGGGGCAGGTGTACTAGGCTGACTGTTGCTGATGCTGGGAGTGCTGGTTCGCCCACTACGTTCGCTACTTGGCCCGGCCATGGGACTACAGTTCCTGTGATTGTGGGTGGCACGGACTTCAGGGCTGGCTGGGGAGGAGCTCTGAGGAACACTGGTTGATACTGCAGAAGCGCAGGCTGGTGCTGGAGGCTGTTGGATCATAAAGGGTTTCTCATCTGGGCAAGGACCTGGATCGGGAGAGGCGGGGTTTCTGAGTGTCTGGCGGTAAGCTGGAAAGCTGTCCAGCCAATGTGGACAGCTGATTTAAAGGATTGTCCACCATGAGTTCCTGTGGGTCCCTAGACAGTCCTCCCGTATGAGAAGTCTTGGCCAGAGTCTCATAGGCTTCACTCTGAATGCTGGGGATCTCATGAGAGAAGTCACTCAAATAGTCAGGCTTGTGCACCACCATGGATGGTGGACTCAGGTTGATTAGCATTCTGCGACTGTACCCCAGGCTGCTGACCTTCTTTTGAAGGACCCCCCACATTTTCTTGTTTCCAAGAGATGGACGCGTGCCTTTAATCGGGAGCATCTTGTGCTTGCGGCGCCGGTGATGGGAAAGGTTGCTACGGTCACTGCAGCGGAAAGAACATAACTCGCACTTGTAAGGTTTTTCTCCGGTATGAGAGCGCATGTGAGCCTCTAAGTGGCGCTCATAGGCAGATGCGAAGGGACACAGATGACAGCGATGTGGCTTTTCGCCTGTAAATAGATGAGGCAGAATGGAATAGTTATTGGGTATTGTAATTATATATAACATGGATAATGCATGACACAATTTACCAGTTACGTTCCAGCAGCAACAAGGCTTTAAAAAAAACGTATATACAGTATATATCCTAGCTGAGCACAACACAAAACTAAAGGCTAAACAGGCAAAATGGTGTATTCAAGCAGAACGCCTTCCAAAACATTTCGTTTTGGACAGTGCAGGGCTATTTTCTAAAATGTAAATAATGTGAAAGTCACATTAAGAAATAACATTCTAGCTGTGCCGGGTTATCATGATTCAGTTTTATATTGAGACCTGTGGATTCTTTTTCTAGTGCAGGAGTGCTCAACCTGGGGTCAGCAACACGTTGATCTTGGCTTGCCGAACCACCATCGCAGAACATCAGAATGCAGCGGAGGAAGCAGTTGGCCACATGTGGAGCAGGAGCCGCATAAACCAATGCCGCCTCTGTAGCGCCAACTCCTGTCACAGGCGGAGTGATACCAAGTGCACTTCACCTGGAACCTTCCTACTAGCCTGGAGATCGATACCAGCAGAAGCTGAAAGAGGAAAAGAAGATATGTGTTTTACACAACACATACACTGCGCTTTTGCAATGGGAATATTAGCACCTATAAAAGGGTTAACAACTATTAAGCTGCTTCCACACTGATCCATGGGTGCAGAGCAGTGCGCCTGCAGCTTTCTTGTGGGGTAGCTACACCGAGCCTTAGAGGGGATTCACACCCATGTGGTGCGGCTTGAAGTTCAGATTTCACAGTTATTTGACACAGTAGTTGGTCAGGTCAGGTTTACAACAGGTTCAGGTAAAGATTTTACCTGTTCACACATGTGCGGTTTAAAGATGGTTCAATAGCCTGTAATCTGCACCTGAACTGGACCGCACTGCTCAGAAATTGTACAGGACTCTTTTTCAATCCACACTGAAACCCCACAGCCAGTGCACCAGACATGTGAACAGGCACCATAGGAAGCAATGTTTTTTCACATCATGTGGACTGGATCCGGTTCAACCCGCATCTAATCCGCATATATGTGAACTGGCACTTAGATTTCGATTATATCCTGCGGATTTGGTGCACTTTCAGAAAGTGCACCAAAGCTGCCAGCTATAATAGATATCCATGGCAAACACAGCGACCCTCAGGAAAGCTGCAGGTGCATCGCTCTGCACCCACGGATCAGTGTGAAAGCAGCCTTATAGGGGGGGCTCAGGACAGTAGGGGCTCATTTACATTTGGGTTTGAAGGTGGTAAAAGCTCATAGTTCAGATGTTTTTAACCCCCCCCCCCAAACCACTAGTGTAGTCTCAGGGGTTGCAATGATGGCCCATGCTGCAGCCTCCCTGTCACATTCTGTTTTACACTTGGACATGAGTGCTGGCATATTTCCTCCTGCAACCACTGAAAGCTGGCTTCTCCTCCTCTCCCTCTTGCTGGTATTTAGTGGCTGCAGGAGGAAATATGTTTATTATGTTATTCAAAATAAACTCGAAATTCTGAACCATTTCATTGTGGCCCACAACGGGTTACCAAATCACTTAAGTGGCCCTCACTTTTCAAAAGGTTGAGCACCCCTGTTCTAGTGGTTATTTGTATATCAAAACAGTACAGACAGCACCCTTGCTTATCACAATAAGATCAATTAGCTGCATAGACAGTAAGGAGAACTTGCGAAGACTGGACCAGCTGTAAATAAGTGGCTGAGTACTACTTTCCGAAAGGGGGAAGGAAGTGAGTATATTTTCCCACCATACCGAAAAACCATTTTTTTTTTCAGGGGGCTTACAATCACATTTATGTAGCTAAGCAATTTCAAAGACTAATAACTTCTAAGTCAAAATTGCACATTATCTTCAAACTCTTAGGGGGAGATTTACTAAAAATGGTGCACTCAGAATTTGCAGCAGCTGCGCATTATAGCCAATCACCAGCTTGTTCAATTAAGCTTTTGCAATAAAACCTGGAAGCTGATTGGTTTCTATGCAGAGCTGCACCAGATTTTGCACGCTCAAGTATTAGTAAATCTCCCCCTTAGCGGTAACACCAAGGGGTCCCACACAGCCTGAGTAATGCTGTACTTTAGAGCGGCTGCACACTGCCCTGCGGTGCTTTTACTAGGATCTCATAGAAGTCTGTGGGAAAGCACAGCTAACCCACAGATTAGCTGTGCTTTCCCACAGACTTCTATGAGGTCCTGCGGTTTTGGTGTGGTTTCAGAAAGCGCATCAGAACTCCTTAATGCTGCATCTTTGGTGCACTTTATGAAACCGCAGGACCGCATAGAAGTCTATGGGAAAGTGCAGTTAACCAGCACGAAAACGGGTTAGCAGTGCTTTACCAAAAGCACAGCAGGGCTGCAATGGGACAGTGTGAAGCCGGCCTTACACTATACAGAGGATTAAGGTGTGATTGCAGGATCTTTCAAATGTAGGCTCTGCTACATGTGACAGCTGGAATTACGGCAATGTGCAGAAGGGGTCACCCTTCCATTTTTATAAATGAATGGCTTCTTTTATAAATTATAACTGTACAGCTGGTTACCTCCTCACTACTAAGGAAGCATAACTCCCAGCATACTAAAACAGCTATCATAAAAAGTTTAGAGTCACAGGTTGTCCAATAATTGTCATTTTACAAGCATACACACACTGCACCGTACCCTCCAGCAACACACCACATGCTGCCCCATGCATACACAGCCAGGGTCCTACCTGTGTGTATGCGAATATGTTCTATAAGACGAGCTGTGCCTTTGCTGGCATAGTTACAGTAACGGCATTTTAGTTTCCCATCATATGTCCGTTCAAAGCCATCAACCAGCATCCCCGCGCTCTCATCTAGCGACACCTCCACTGACGGGTGGTCCAGGCCGTTCTGATCACTGTCTGTCCCAGCTGCCGGTAGAGCAAGGCACGGAGAGTTAGCGGTGAGCACATCGAGGTTTTGTGGCCCTAATTCACAGAAAGTCAGTCAATGAACAGAACCCCTCTGCCAACCGCCAAGGGAAAGCTTGAGCCAGGGTTGCCAGGTGTTAAAAAAAAAAAAAACAAAACAAAAAAAACACCTTGCCAAAGATTGGAGCAAAACTACATAACAAAAAAAAACAAAAACATAAATTTTACATCTAAAGTGAAAATGTGTGAGTGAAATACATAGTCTGCCATTGCTAATCTTGTTTTGAGGTTCTACTTGCCTGGCTGTCATGCTGATCCTTAGTTTTCCATCATTTCAGAGTCATCGACCCAAAGCAAGCATGCACCCAGTGAAATGAGTGAAGCCAGAACTCCTTGTCTGTATAATTGCTCCTGGTCAGTGATTCTAAGCATTAAAGCTTAACTCCAGGAATTCAGCCATAGTAAAATGTGCAGGAATACTATGAGTGAGGTCCAATGAAATGCATGTCTCTTTAATTTACCTGACAGTTTTATGGAGCTCCAGGAGGATAGCTATTGCTATCCTTCCGCCTTTCTGACACTTGAATTTCTAAGCTCAGCTCCTTCAGCTGCAGAGTCACATGCAGCTGCTGTACTCGCCCCTCTGCTCCTCCTGCCCAATCACAGAGCACTTTGTATTTTATGAACTCATTCACAAAATCCAAAGGCTTCTATGAACTGACAGAGGGGAGGGGCAGAGATGTTGTGTGTAAGAAAGCAGCGTCTCCCCCAGCGTCTTGCCCCAAGAGTGTAGGGATAGCTATCCTCTTGGAGCTCCATAAAACTCTCAGATGAAAATTAAACAGAAGCCTCAAAGGGGTGGCATGCACCTCGTTGCATCGCTAAAGATTCTTTTTTTTTTTTTACTGTTTACCATTATCACTGAAAGGAAAAGAAAATCCAAAATTTTGGGTTGACCCTAGAAAAGTAAGAGGGGAAATCTTTCAAATGGGACTTTGCAGGGATTTCCTTTCACTTCCTGTTTGGCTAAGGAACAGAAAGTGAAGGGAAATCTTCCCAATAAGATAAAGATGGGAAGAATGAAAAAAAAAAAAAAAAAAAAAATCTTACAGGGGTTATGAGGGGGCTGGGGGAGCTGCTGCACACAGAAAGTTTTTTTACTTTCATGCATAGAATGCATAAAAGGTAAAAAAAAACCTTCAGACTTTACAACCACTTTAACTCATATTATTTCTGTACATTTTACAAAAAGACTGACTTCCTGGAGTTCAGCTTTACAGTCCAGTGACTGACACAGGCAATAGGCATTTAAGGAAGAAGGTGCCAGCTGATGTATTTCTCTCACAATAGGAATTAGTACTAATTTCAATGCAAACCAACCAAACCTGGCAACCTTGACACCAGCACACAGATCATTTGGGAAACATTTTATGAGAATGAAGGGGCCAGTGTGGAATAATGGAATGAAGGACATTCATTTAAATCCATTGGATGCTTGTGTACAGAAAACAGAGGTGTGAATGTGTCAAAATATTACTAAACAACGGATTATAGGTATGCAACTCCATGATAAAAACCAACTACATTAAAACATTTTTTTTGTTTCCCTATAAGTTATTAACTACTATCTGGCTTTACATGTTAAAAACAAGTACAAATAATACAGGTTACTTAAGTGCCCCTAACCTTCCCAGACTTGAAGTAAGCCTGTCATTAGAGAAAAAGTGGGCTGCCATTGTCGATTCTCCTCTGACCCCATAAATATCAATGGATTTTAGGACACTGACCTTGGCCAAAGTAGGCAAAGTGTCCCGTGTTGCCTTGAAGATGCTTGCTCTGTGTAGCTGGCATCACCTCCCAGCACTTGAACATATGGAGGAGTGTGTGACCTTGCTCCCACTATGATGATGATGTCCCAGTCTAGCAGCTTAGATAGTTAAGATAATAGCGAAGACCGAACACGGTCAGATGATGGAGGGGATGATGTCACTACTGCTCCACTCTTGGTCCATGGCTGCGACACAGCAAGGAGCAGAGGTAAGTAACTTGGGTCGGGGGAGGGGAAGAGAGGGGGGGGGGGAAGAAGAGAGAAAGAAGAGGGGGGGGAGGGAGAGAGAGAGAGAGAGGGGAAGGGGGAGAAAAAGAGAGAGAGAGAGACACAGAGAGACAGACACAGAGGAAGAGATTGAGAGACAGAGCAAGAGCGAGCGACAGAGGAAGAGAGCGAGCGAGCGACAGAGGAAGAGAGCGAGCGAGCGACAGAGGAAGAGAGCGAGCGAGCGACAGAGGAAGAGAGCGAGCGACAGAGGAAGAGAGCGAGCGACAGAGGAAGAGAGCGAGCGACAGAGGAAGAGAGCGAGCGAGCGAGCGACAGAGGAAGAGAGCGAGCGAGCGACAGAGGAAGAGAGAGAGCGAGCGAGCGACAGAGGAAGAGAGAGAGCGAGCGAGCGACAGAGGAAGAGAGAGCGAGCGAGCGACAGAGGAAGAGAGAGAGAGAGCGAGCGACAGAGGAAGAGAGAGAGAGAGAGCGAGCGACAGAGGAAGAGAGAGAGAGAGAGCGAGCGACAGAGGAAGAGAGAGAGAGCGAGCGACAGAGGAAGAGAGAGAGAGCGCGAGCGACAGAGGAAGAGAGAGAGCGAGAGACAGAGGAAGAGGGGAATAGAGAGAGAGAGGGACGAGAGAGAGAGGGACGAGAGAGAGAGGGGAACGAGAGAGAGAGGGAACGAGAGGAGAGAGGGGAACGAGAGAGAGAGGGGAACGAGAGAGAGAGAGAGGGGAACGAGAGAGAGAGAGAGAGAGAGGGGAACGAGAGAGAGAGGGAACGAGAGAGAGAGAGAGAGAGGGAACGAGAGAGAGAGAGAGAGAGGGAAACGAGAGAGAGAGAGAGAGGGAAACGAGAGAGAGAGAGAGAAGAGAGAGGGAAACGAGAGAGAGAGAGAGGGGAAACGAGAGAGAGAGAGAGAGGGAAACGAGAGAGAGAGAGAGAGAGGGAAAGGGAAACGAGAGAGAGAGAGAGAGGGAAACGAGAGAGAGAGAGAGAGAGGGAAACGAGAGGAGAGAGAGAGGAAAACGAGAGAGAGAGGGAAACGAGAGAGAGAGGGAAACGAGAGAGAGAGAGGGGAACGAGAGAGAGAGAGGGGGAACGAGGGGGGGGGGGGGGGAAAAGAGAGAGAGGAGGGGGAAAAGAGAAGAGAGAGAGGAAGAGAGAGGGGGGGTGGGGAGGGAGAGAGATAGAGAGAGAGTAGAGAGAGAGAGAGAGAGGGGTGGGGAGAGAGAGGCAGAGGAAGAGAGAGGCAGAGGAAGAGAGAGAGAGAGAGAGAGGAAAAAAGAGAGAGAGACACACACAGAGGAAGAGAGAGACTTGTTTTGGTCACCTTTCCCCTCGTGGCCTCATTAAATTCTAATCCATGGCCATTACTAGCTCCTGCAGTTGGCACTCTGTGACCCATCTACATGCCCTGGTCATGTTTTCATTCCCACTCTATGAATCAGTGTACAGGATGAGTATGTCAATGATAATGTGCCACATACCTCCTTGCAGGCTGTCTGCCTCCTTCTCTCCACTCACAGAGCCTGATATCATGTTGACGTGATGCGTCTGCTGTGTGAGATACTCCTGGAAATCTTTAACAAAGTCCAGCGCCTCTGGCTTTTTTTCACCCATATTCAGACCCTGTGTGTCCCTGCAGAGCCCCTGCCTGGACAGGAGATGGGAAAAAATTTATGTATACAGGAAAACAGTATATATATCATCAGCAGTGATTGTCACATCAGAAGTAAACAAACATTAAACATCCTTATATCTGATATAAAAATTGTAATGCTCATAGCAAAGGTCCAGGGTAGGATTAAAAATGATTGTGTACATCTGATTGCATTATTTCAGGCTACTTCACAAATGAGAGAAATGCAGTGACCGGTTTTTATACTGTTGAATTGCTGGTCGAGGGGGTGCATTGGACACCTTAGCTGCCATTGTGCTACATGCTGGGTGTCCAGTGCACTCCTGTACCTTTAAAAAGGGGTGGGCTTGAGCATGCGCAGTGGGCACCTGGCTGTGAAGCTGCAAGCTGTCACAACCAGGTGCCCACACTGACGATGCCGGCGCCAGGGAGAGAAGACGGCCGGTGAAACCAGCTGTGGTGAGGACACCGCTGGAAAGAGGGACAGGTAAGTGACTGTATTTTAAATGTCAGCAGCTACAGTTTTTGTAGCTGCTGACTTTTTTTTTCAGCTGGAACTCCGCTTTAAGTCTTTTATATTAAAGTGGTTCTAAACCTCAGACATGAACAATGAACAAAGCATATCCCTCTATAGTGTGTACTTGTCTCAATCCAGAGTGCCAAGTGTCATTTCTGTCTGCTGCCTCATTCCTCTGCTGACAAGTTTCCTGAAGCCAAGAGAAAAATGGTGACAGGGGAGAGAACTCCAGCAGAGTTACAGACTAAACTCTGAGATCCTGTGTAAATTCTGCACTTTGAATGGATGTAGGGAACAGACGGCTATAGACATACAGGTACCATGTAGGAGGATGTTTCATCTCTGTGCATCAGTGGAGGCCAGTCACTTCACTGGGTATATGGATGGGTTTAGAACCATGAATGAATTCCAGGCATGGATATTTTGCACATTTTTAAAAGTGGTGCAGTTTGTACCAATGTAACTATGTATATACCATACCTGGCAGATACCTCTGCAAGCTAGAAATCACTGTATAGGCACCTCTACTCCAGTGATCTCCACTAGCTTCTGGGTCTCATGCGGATCGGCTGCATTCTGAACACAGGAGGTCGGAGCTCAACACAGGCACCATTCAGACAAAAGCTTTAAATTTCCTCAAAGAAATCAGTGCGTTCTCTGTATGGATAAGGTGGACAGGTGGGGCAGTGACATCACACTCTCCACCTGGTCCAATCAATTAATGCAAGGCATTCTATGAATGGCACCCATGATGAGCAGCCAGCCTCCTATGTTTACAAAGCAGCAGGGCAGCTGATCTGTGTGGGACCCGGAGGCAAATCTAGATCACTGGAGTAGCAGGATAAAGCTGGACCAATGTAACCATGTATAAAATATCCATGCCTGGAATAAGAAGAATATCTTTCTCAAAGCAATTTTAGCATTTATTTTTAAGTTCAGCAAAAAAAATTGATTATTAACTAACTGCTGAGGGCAGTAGCAATATTTCTGCCAAAATATCAATCAATAGAACCCAGTGAATTGGGAATGATATTAAAACGGACCTAACACATAAGTCCTGCCCTGTCTACCTGCCCTGGAAGCTAACGGATGTCCATACTGAAAAGCAGGACTGGGGTATCTCTGGTGCAAAAAACACACTGAAGGATTATATGGAAAAACAAACAGATGCCTGACACCTAGAAATTTAGTTATGTGATCTCTGGTCATGTGGCCTCTTGTAAAGAGAAGGATCACAGTTTAGAGTGGCTGATCCCTTTTCTTTACCAAAGGCCTTGGCTTTAGCTCATGCGACTGGCTTCCATGTGATCCTGGCGTATTGCTTGACACAAGACAAGGAAGCACTTCAGAATTTCTGCTTTCAGGGAAGGACGTGGCAAGGGTACGTAATTAAATTGGTATTAAACCCATAAGCCAGGACTTGACAAATTTGCTTTGAATCTAGAAGCCAGCTAAAAAAGTTAGGAGCCAGATGTTTAAATCAGCTGCCCAACACCTGCAACTGCATGTCTGGGGCATCAGACAATAGGAATTGCCCAGGCCCAGGCATTTTAGACTGAGCAACTCAGACTCTGTTGCTGTTCCCGCCTCTTTTTCCAACCCACGCCAAAATGAGGCATGAAACAGACCTGGAGCCCCCCCCGTACCCTAGATGGCATGTCAAACGAGAGCATGGGGACGTAAGCCGTGAAGCCAATCCACATTGTATCCATCCCTCGGAATGTATGTGGTTGGTTGCCCACCCCCTTGCCAGTGATTGGCTGAGCCCTAAAGCCATACAAGCTGTAGCCATTGGCGTCTTCTGCGCATGTGTGGTGGCATCCTTAGGACGGCTGGTGTTTGCTACAGTGTTAGGCTTGCGTGCTATTAGCCATGTCCCTTCACAGGAAACGGAAGGAAATCTACAAGTACGAGGCGCCATGTCCCTTCACAGGAAACGGAAGGAAATCTACAAGTACGAGGCGCCATGTCCCTTCACAGGAAACGGAAGGAAATCTACAAGTACGAGGCGCCATGTCCCTTCACAGGAAACGGAAGGAAATCTACAAGTACGAGGCGCCATGTCCCTGCACAGGAAATGGTAGGAAATCTACAAGTACGAGGCGCCATGTCCCTTCACAGGAAACGGAAGGAAATCTACAAGTACGAGGCGCCATGTCCCTGCACAGGAAACGGTAGGAAATCTACAAGTACGAGGCGCCATGTCCCTTCACAGGAAACGGAAGGAAATCTACAAGTACGAGGCGCCATGTCCCTTCACAGGAAACGGAAGGAAATCTACAAGTACGAGGCGCCATGTCCCTGCACAGGAAACGGTAGGAAATCTACAAGTACGAGGCGCCATGTCCCTTCACAGGAAACGGAAGGAAATCTACAAGTACGAGGCGCCATGTCCCTGCACAGGAAACGGTAGGAAATCTACAAGTACGAGGCGCCATGTCCCTTCACAGGAAACGGAAGGAAATCTACAAGTACGAGGCGCCATGTCCCTTCACAGGAAACGGAAGGAAATCTACAAGTACGAGGCGCCATGTCCCTGCACAGGAAACGGAAGGAAATCTACAAGTACGAGGCGCTATAGACCGTGTATGGCATGAATTGGAGCAAGAGATTCTGGTTAGCTCTGGGCAGTTTTCTGGACGAATATAATTAGGTAAGCAGGGGCTGAGAAAGAAAGCAAAGAAAAAGAAAGAGGAGGCCCACAGGATAACTTGTTTGAAGTGATGGACACTGTATTCTGTGTACCCATTGGCTGAGAGGTAGTGCAGCCCATCTCCTGCTACCTCCTCAGCCAATGGGTAGCTGAAGTACTCTCAAGTTCCTCCCTCTTGACTTCACCTGGAATCTCCCAAATCCCAGTCCAACCAGCTAGCTTGCTATCTGGGTAGGCCAGAGAGGACCCACTGAAAGTGTAGGTTCACCTTAACAGAAAATCCGTAAGGTGGCTTTACACTGGACCCCCTCCCCATCACTTTCAGTCCCACTGTACCAGTATCCCAAACCAGGGTGCCAATTCACCAGTCTGGGGATTTGAATTCCACGCAGCTTTCTCTCCTCTCCTACCAGCACTGACAGGATGGGCTAGATGGATTCTGATTAGTCAGCGCCTTCCATGTGACAGTGCTGACCAATTAGAAAGCCTCTTGTCTGTACATGCTGAGAGATACAGAACGGAGATCAAGATGTGGATATTTAAAATCCTTGGATCAGTAAAGCGGCGTCTCGGTACCTGACAGTGGATGGCTAACAAAAGCCCAGGGTGCAATTTCTAGTCACCATGGCGACCTAGGATTTGTCGAGCCGTGCCATAAGCAAACATTTATTATATTGCAGCCATTGCTGTTGTGAATAGCCTTGTACCATGTGACCTCTGTGATCATTCAGATTTTCACACGTAGTAAGCAATGATGTCAGGAAGTGACATCTTGCTTACTACTCTGCATGTGATCACTGATTGGCAAATCAGTGATCACATGATCGGGACCTCGCACAGAGGTCCTGTACGCCGATCGGTGTTCCACTGTGTCCGGAGGACAGAGCGGGCACCGGATTGTGGTGCTGCACGTTCCCAGGGAGCGCGCGCACAGTCCAAAATGGCGGGCGCCGTTTAAGAACAGCAACCCGCCCCTGGACTGCCACCGTCCTGCCTTTATATACAGCAGCCGGACGGCAAGTGGTTAATACAGGGTGTTACTGGCCAGATCACCAAGTGAAAACAGAAGGAAGAAGCGTGAAAAAGAAAACAAATGCAGCCACCACATCTAATGATTGGTAAGCTGCAATATATTACATTATCTATTTTGGGTTTAATATCGCTTTAACAGTCGGTACCTCTGAGGACTCTTCTACAGTACTGCAGAGTTAATAATCCAGTCAGTGTTTATTCAGGTGCAGCTGCCTGTCGCAGTGGTCAGGAGTTACAATACTCGACATAGAACTGTAAACTGTAAAGTGGCCTTCTCTTGTGTATGTATGGTGTATGGCAGTGGTCTCCAAACTACAGCCCAGGAGCCAGATACGGCTCTTGGCTTGCTTTAATCTGGCCCTTGGGGCATTATTTCCCCCACTGTCAGCAACCGTGGGGTATAGTTCCTGCCACTGACACCGACAATAGGGCACTATTCCTCCCACTGACACCAATGATGGTGCACTATACCTCCCATTAGTACCAAAGATGGGGCACTATTACTCCCACTAATACCGATCATGGGGCATGGTTTACTCCCAAGTCAGGATATTTTCTACTCCCACTGACCACAGTCTGGCCCCCCTAAAGTTTGAAGGGCAGTAAACTGGCCCTTGGGTGGGAAGGATCACCAATCATGTAACCACTGTGATTGGCTGTCACAGTAGTCACATGATTAACCTCATGATTAAGTCGATGACGAAACGCGTCAAGGGGAAGTGACATCAACACGCGCACAGGAACCGGAAGTTGACCGGCGGCCATCTTGGATGAGGGAAACGACCATCTGATTTCCCCTGGACACTTCCTGGATGACAGTAAAACTACTTTTGAGTATTTAAAGCGTTTTATAAGCTGATAAAATGTGAGCATCCTAATTAAAAGTTGATTTTAAGATTGATTCTGGCAGTATCACACTATTGTGTCCCTTATATATTCATATTTATATGAAACATGCTTGATGGGGATATATGGAGTCTCAAGGCTTTTGGACCCTGATGTTATTATGAAGGCAGACTAAACTGGGTAAAGATCCATAGGAGGACTGTCTCCCACCAATCTTTTGGAAAGATATAAAAAAGCGTCTGTTTTTCTGAATATTGGTAAGGGTATGCATTCCTTACTGCACTTAGAAGTGTCACAGTGCTGGTTGGAATAGAGCACTGAAGAGTGATTCACATTCACAGTGGTTTTTTATTGTTTTGGATTCACAGTTTTTTTCACTTTGTTCACTTTTTCACTGATTATTAATGTGATTGGGTATTAACCTGAATGAAGTCACTATTATTTATTTAGTTTTAAAAAAAGATAATGCACTATGTGAATATTTTCTTTTCTTTGAGGTATATTATCGGAGGAATTTTTTGAAAGATTTTTGAACACGAGAAGAACTTGATTTAAATTTTGGACGTATAGGGTTTGGACTGCACAAAATTTTTTGAGGATTTATTGTATAGCATCTTCTGTTTATTAATATGTTAATCCACATCAAATTTATCATTGTAACTTGTAATCTGCACACAACAAAAGTACAGTGTCAACATATGGAGTACTATGGAACATTTCTAATTTGGTGACACAGTAAGAAGTCATCCATCTGAGATTCTGACTACATCTTAGATCTGTGTGTATCCTCTCAGCGTTCCTGACGGGAGCCCACCTACTGACATAGACACAGTGCCTGTCTTATTCCATGTTTGCACAACAGGCCTGTGTGTGTGTACAGAGCTGGGTGGCCTTACAGAGCCTCCAGCCCTCCATCCAATCTCCTACAGGGCACTGCCAGGCATTGCTGAGCACTCCGCTCACAGAGGGGGCATTGATAGAAGGACGGCCATTTACTGACAGCTCAGATAACCAGGCTGTGAGCAACATCGCTTCGTGATCAGGGCCAATAACCCAAACACTATGTAGATGTCCCAAATTTCTTAGAGCTTTCTCACACTGATCCATTTTTGGGGATGAAAAGGATGAAGAAAAATGTATCCATTTAAACCCTGTGGAACTTTTCACGCCAGTGTGTTGGTGTGCAGCACATATATGAGTTTTTACCGCATTTTCTCAACGGTGCAGTGTGAATGGGCCTTTAAAAACTGGGGAATTTCCTGTCATCGGAGTTTAAAAAAAAAAAAAAAAAGAAATGACAATATATGCCTTTTTAACGCCTTTCTGACCAGGGGTTTCTTTTGGGCTACAAAGTGATTTGGCACAGTGTAATAGCTCGGTCTCAGAACATGAATCGCATCCATGTTCCCCAAAATTATACCCATAGGCAGGGTGGATTTGATTTAAATCAAACTGATTTAAATCACGATTTAAATCACTAGTCAGTAAGGCTTGATTTAAATCATAGTTTTCTACATAGACTAATTCTTGGTGGTATAACTTTAATATGCAAGTACTGTAGATGACGAATTTTAGAATAACAACTTTTCATATTAGTTTTTTTTATCCCCAGTTTAATAGGTTAATCATTCTGTTGTACTTAGGAAGGAGAAAAATAGTCATTACCTTAATAATAACAATTTAAATAGATTTATTCAACTGAAACAATAACATTCCAGCATATGTTATTTGCTTAAACATCCATGTTTGTTAACTAATTTGGTCTAAACAAAATATATATATTTTAAGAAACTTAGACTGTCAGCCCCTTCCTCTTCACACTTAGTTTCACTTTCTTCTTGTGCAGATCTATTCCACTCCAAACAATCAGAAAAATATTGTTTCTATTCTATTCACTGAACTTCTTGAAACCTAGCACTGAAGGGGTTGATTCTGTATTCATAGGTTTGTAGAAGTTAGGATGAAGGTCTTTTTCTTAACTCTTTTCATGTTATAACATTTTTGCTGTGAAGAAGAGGCATGTGATCTCCGCTGAGTCAAATTCAGTTTTGAGAACTGAAGAAGTAAACCAATCATCTGTGATATCTTGTAGGCAGAGAAACTGCCCAATAATCTTACAAAAATCTCTGGAAGAGCATGACATTGTGAATGGATTCATGGAATTTATTTACCAAAAAATTAAACATATACAGCCTTATTCTACATAATTAAAAAACTAATCTTTATTTCATGATGGAATGACCTTTGGATGGTAACATATTTTCCTCTCAAAAAAAAAATCCGATTTAAATCAAATGAATCCGATTTAAATAAAAAAAAAATCCGATTTTTTTAATTTTTAAAAAAAAATCATTGATTTTTATCCACCCTGCCCATAGGTCAGTGCACAGTAAAGCCTCATTTACACAGGAGTACCTAAAGTGGTTCTAAAGGCAGAAGGTTTTTTACTTAAACACACAGATGTCAAATTGGGAGTAACAGCTGTGTCTGTGCAACTGCTGCTCCCAAAAATCATGAATGGGTCTACCTGCATGTGGATGCATGAATCACCTGTACATCCCCTGCGGGCAAACACCGACCTTCTCAGGGGTATACACTTAGATATGCCTGTGTGAACGGGGCCTAAAGGCCAGTGGCAGCAGACGCAGCTTGTATCCAGTCATAACACACACAAACTGTATACTGAAATTAAAGTGTTACTAAACCCCGGACCCTGCATTCACTATATCTGGTCGCCCACAGTACACAAACATGGAAGGGCAATTATCTTAGTAAATATAAACTGCTAAATATTTCTCTCATCAGCCTCTTATAGCAGTCTTGTGACTTCTAGCAGTGTCTGGCTGAGCACTGGTTAATCCTGTAGGAGTTTACTGTCTCCTCTAATTATCCTATGAGGCTGCATAACCCCTGACCCTCTTTCTGGACAGTGCCGACTGGTCCTGTGCTGATCACATGCACCCTTCCAAAAAAAAACTAGAAAAAAAAACCCTCTCTAGCAATACACGCCAAACTGAGAACGTGCAGAGTGTCTCCTAGGGCTCTGTAATATCAGCAGATGGATCGGGGACTGTGGAAGAAAGGGAGGATCAGAAAAGACAGGATCAAACAGCTTTTTTTTTTTTTTACATGTGGAGGATTAACCCTTTAGTTTCCACAGTGAGTATAACAAGCATGCTTTACTGCATATACAGACTGATTTTACTGTTTTGGGTTTAGTAACACTTTAAAAGTAGAACTTCAGTCTCTCAATCAACATTGACTATTTTCAATCCTTCTGCTGCTTGCATTGGTAAACAGATAGGAAGGTATATTGCATTTATTTGTATTAAACTTTTTTTATCCATTTCTTCAGTTACATCCTGGTTTCCATGCCTAAGCAAATAATGTCATACACGTCAAGAGTCTTCAGGAGGGGTTTACTTAACTAAGCTAACCCTCCTGCCTGTGTGCCTGAGCTAAGGGCAGATGGATTCCAGGAAGTAAATACTGCATAATGTATCTGCCCTTAATCAAGATGGCCACAGCCAGTAATGCTGGGGAGTGTTTTTCAAAGTGATTTCTCAGCAAAATAAAGCATGGAGACGTGGATGGATGGGTGAGCTGGCTTTGAATACTAAAAATTAATTAAATCGTTTTTGTTTTATGGTGTTCAGATTCAGTGTAGATCCACTTTAATTACAAATAAAACAAAAAAAAACAAAAAAACTTTACAAACTATTTTTTTTTTTTTTTTTTTTTTTACACAAACAAAATAAACTGACATGTTAATGTAATTTCAAATCTTTTTTAAGTCTACAATTTTCATATAATACTTGTGATCCTGATCGGTCATTTCCTGGTATGTGATGACAACACTTCCAACTGGACTCCTGTGTTGTCACCCTGTTACATGGGCTTCCAATGGAGACCACAAGTGGCCTTTCAATCTATATTAGACAGGCACGGGTCACTGTGTCATCATTACAAAAAACTACTCTGAGTAAGGCTATGCAGTTAGAACTTGGGTGCACACAATGAAGACATGATATGGCTGCAAAAAGCTGCAGGAGATCAACAGCACTGCAAAAGGCTGCAGGAGA